AGCTGCTTGGCAATTGCCCTGTAGCCCTTTCCAGCCTTGTGGAGGTTCACAATTTTGTCTCTGGTGTCTTTTGACAGCTCTTTGGTCTTGCCCATGGTAGTAGTTGGCGTCTGACTGACTGTGGGGTGGACAGGTGTCTTTAAAGAGTTCAGACAGGTGCTACTAATTTAGATTAATGAGTGGAGTAGAGGTGGACTTTTTCAAGGCACAGTAACAGGTCTTTGAGAGCCAGAATTCTTGCTGTTTCTCAGGTGTTCAAATACTTATGTTCAGCAGTGCAAGACAAATAAATTCTTTAAAAATCATACAATGTGATTTCCTGAATTTTTTTTAATTCTGTCTCTCAGAGTGGGAATGCACCTACAATGTGAATTTCAGACCCCTCCATGATTTCTAAGTGGGAGAACTTACAAAATCGCAGGGTGTTCAAATACTTCTGTTCCTCACTGTATGTACTGTATGCAGCTAAATCATTATCACACTTTTACTTAATAAAAAAAATATCTAGTGAACTGGTCACTCCAACATTTAACCTTCCTAACAGGTCCTTCTGTTGACACTGCCGCATGTAACCAGCTGCAATACAAACTCCACGCCACTGTTTCTCCAGGACGCAGGAAGAGAGAGAGTTATTATCATTATTATTGTGAAGAACCAGCTGCTACACAGGGTCAGTGCTTCACCACTCCCACCCTAGGGCTGCACTTGTCTTCTCCAATCTATATCTTAGACAGCGACAGAAAATCAACTATCTTCAAGGAAGAAGTAGGATGGGGCTGACAATGTCACTGACACCTTATCTCTTCACATAAGGGCAGGGAGACACCAAGCTGATGTGAAAGAACTAGCAGTGCTGAAAGCCGACCTCTGCGTCACCTCGCGTCAGCTTTGTCTGGGCCAGTTGGGTTCAAAAAGTGGCACTTGAACACACCGCACAGACTACAGCCAACGGCCGACTAGCACATGCATCCTACGCCCGCATGACAGACTCCACTGCCATCAGTTGGTGGTATCTGTATTAGCCGTTCAGAAAAGGAAGGAAGAAGAGCTAGAATGTGAAAGAATAAACAAAATACTTCTCATTCAAAACACCTGCTGTTTATAGCTGCTCCTAACTGAGAATATGTCTTGACAAGAAGTTGTAAGTGACACTGCCGTTCTCTGTCCTTGGTGTTCTGGTTGTGGAAGAAGAAAAGAGGTTGCAGAGGTGAAAAACGAGGAGAAACGGCACTAAATGTGTGAAATCATGGATACTACAGCAAGAGGCTGAAGGGGCTTTCCTGAACTGTTCTCATGCACTGATTCGCTAAGCTCAACAGCCAATCAGATTGGTCTCTCTCTCATCGACAATGCTCGACTGCCAACGCTGATTCAATGATTCAACATGTCAAATCGTCTGAAAAGCTGCCGATGGAGGCTGACTAGTGCCAACAGTGCAGGATGAACTGGGAAGACAAGCCCCAACAAACACTCACCCACGGCCAACCATCAGCATGGTGCGTCACTGCCCTAACACTGTTTGGTGAGCTCACACACTCAGCTGAACATCTCTGCAGCATGAATAGAACCATCAAACTCATATCGAACACATACATGTGCTGTATTGTACCCCGGTCGTCCCTGCCCATCCTGTCAGTTTTTAGCTATCTGACTCAGTTTTCAGTCTCATCTTCTTGTTTTGAACCCTGACCTTCAGGGATCAGGGCCGGGTCTCCCCTTGCTGCAAGTGCACAGCGTTCTGATGACCAACTCTGACTCAAAATCAGTGCGACGCCATGATAGTAGCAGTGTTTACATGATCCTACGCGAGTGTTGGAGGGTTCTTGCCTTAGGTCACTCTCTGCTGCACTGAAGTGAATGTAGAAGTGGAGAGCCAAACAAGACCTTTGAAATAAGTGTGATGCTACAAACTGTGATCGACGTGAATGTGATAAAATGCATGACAAAATTGCATGGCAACAACCTCCTCACACTATACGTGGTAATTTATCAATTAATCAACAGTTAATTGATTAGCAAAATAGTCCCAATTCATTTTATATCAATTTACTAATAAATGTGTATCTATAATTTTCAGTTTTGGAATCAAATTGCCTGCCACACTTATAACAGTGGGTTTCACCAGGTGTTGTTCTATCATTTACCAAACATTAGGCAGAGAAAAGGCTGTTGCTGAACTCCGTTTATTCCATTTGGGCTGTTAATTGGATAAATTTCATCATAATTATTTAAAGACCTCTGTTCCAGAGGAATACTTAGGTTAATGCTATAAAGGCTTTGCGTGCTAATCCCCTCATGATGACACTGAAGCTGTATTTCCATCAGGCTGTGCTCCTCCAGGGAAGCTCATGTTTTGCCTGATGTAGAAACATAATCATGATATGCAAGTTAGAGGAGCATGTGAGTCTTGGGGACCAGAGTCTGGGCAGTTGCTCTAGCATCTGTTTTCAAAGTGGCCACAGCAACATGCCTGACAGGTACTTAGTTTACTATACTGTACCACATAAAGTCATAACCCCTTAAACCAGTTTTTCCAGACAAGGTGCAAAACCAGGACATAAAGGTGAACCAAGTTACAGCTCTGAGTCTAAACAGCAGGAA